CCCAGCCATACATAAACATTTATTTTATTTTGAGTGTTCGTCTCTGGTCCCAGTTAGGACAGACCCAGAGTCTTTAGTCTGATGTTTGCAGGAGGAACTGAAGCTGTGAGGGTTTGAAAGGAAAGTCAACATTTAAAAGAAAAAAAAGAGCATCTGCTGCGCTTCAGAGTCATCTTTGTGGTGTGACTTCAGTTTGTTCACAGTCTCTTTTTAGACTCTCCAGGACACAGACGCTTAGCGGTGGCTCTGAGCGAATGCTGCGGCTCTGATGGAGATGAAAGGATATTTAGCAGCGAGGCATCAAAGACGAGAGGAGAAGCTGCCTCCATCAGAGCCTGTCAAAAGATTAAATTAAACATAGAAACATCAAAACTAATAATAAAACAGGTTGATGTGGCTTTGGTAGAGATGGTGAGTTATCCTGCAGCGCAAATAACTGCAGGTCAGAGGCTAAACTGCTTCATGTCTTCTGCTGGGATGACACAAATATGAAGGAATACATCAGCCAAATCATGAATAAATGAACATGTACATAAAAGCATTAGAAAATAAACCCAATCTTTTTTTCCCCATGCTGCTGCTGACACTGAGAGTGTGCAGAGGAAGAGGGCACGGCTTAAAGGTTGATCCCACCTGAACTCTCACCTGGATCCAGGCTGCTATGGTTGGACCAAAATATGTTTATAATACGACACAGTACACATGGTTACTTCCTTCATTGTTATCATTAGGAGATTCGTTATAGCTGCTCAAAGCAACTCTACGCTCAAAGGATGCAGATGTGATGCTGTATCTATAGTAACATGGGCAGATAGAGAAACAGGCGTGTGGCCTGACCCCGGATCAGTCAAATGCCAAATGTGATGATACATTTTGATTTTGTGTTTTGGGATATTTCATTACTTCAAGACTTACTAATTATTTAGTATTTCATATTTATTATACTCTCACTGCAGACCGTGTTGTTTCTCACTTCATATCATTCATCTGTTTGCATCTCACATATTTATCTATTATAACAATAATGCTGCGTTCACACCGGACGCGATGCGAATATTCGCTTCGCTCTAATCGCTCCTATCGCATCGCTCTAAACGCTCGAGTTTCACCGCGGCTGTCAGCTGTGTTTACTCGCGTCATTCAAACAAGACGCGATGGCTCGGGAGCTACAACTACAACAAAATGAACATATTTGACCGTGATTAAATTGTAATACACGTTTCTAAATGATGCCGAAGTAACAACATACTGATACCGGTTAGTAAAAACCATGAATTAATGCTTTGACAAGTCTGCAGACAAGACGGCAGGCGAAAAATCTTTTAAAATGCGTGTTTTCTAAATGAAGATCATTTCATTTAATTTCATTTAATTGTTTATTTGACGAGGGACAGTGCACATTGATGATCGGATCGACCAGGCTATGCTAACGTGTATATGCTCCGTCCACACTCATAACAACGGCCTACAGACATAAATAAAGCAGCGACTGTATTCGCCATGAGACAGACAGTCTGTGGTTTGTACTTGTTTAACTTTTGTCCAGTTTCTGAACAGATATGAGGAGCTGTGAGCTCTGTGTGCTAACTGCTAACAGCTAACGGCTGATGTTTTCTGGTTGAACGTCAGTGACGGCAGGCTGAGATCCTCACCGCTGATTGGCTACCGCGAGATCGCGTCACGCGAATATGACGCTCGAGTTGAAAAAATGTAACTCGAGCGTTTGTCGCAGCCCCCTTCAATCGCCTCAATCGCGGCGGAATTCGCGTCCACCGCTTCATGCTCGCCGTCGGAGCGAAATCGCGTCTGTCCGCGTCTCTGGATTGACTTTACATGTAATCGCGCCGCCCCCAAACATCGCATCGCGTCCGGTGTGAACGCAGCATAAGACGTATTTCATTTTAGGGCTGTGCAATTAATCGTATTTTAATCTCGATTACGATTTTGGCTTGCAACGATTACGAAAACAACGTAATAGAAATAAAACGATTATTTTGCTGCGTGCGCTCTCGCCCCTCCCTAAAAGCCCTCTCGGCCAGGTTGTGAGTGACAATAGTTGTGTGAGTTCAGCGCGAGCGAAGATGGCAGAACAAGAGCAACTTGTGAACAAGAAAGGAAAACAAATTCCGCTGTTTGGAAATACTTTGGGTTTAAGGAGTCCGACGTGGAACAAAGAAAAGTTCTGTGCAGCAGGGCAGAACTGGCCATCTGTGTGCTCTGGAGAATCACAGGTGGCCGGCCCGGCCTGCTTTTTTTAAACGTCAACATTTCAGTTGCGCTGACAGGCAACAGAGGTCCACAGTTTCCCGCAGCGAGGCTCCCCCCGCCCCCCCGTTGACAGTTCAGGAGCATGCCCCCTCGACTTCATCCACCACATCACAGCCATCTATTAAGCTTTACAGTGCAGCCTACTCAACCAGCTCACAAAGACACAAAGATATAACAGATGCCTTGCAGTGGCGGCTGGTGCATTTTTCTCCAGGGGGGGCTCTACCAAAATGTAAGCAAACTTATACACAAACTCAAAACACATGTCATATTACAACGCAGGGCTAGCTCAAAGGCACACAGCACTTGATACAGTCTATTATTTGAGTTCCTGTTTTTGTCAACCTCCTTATTATGCTCACTGATCCTTATCCTGTAGCCCTCATTGGACAGCAGTGTTTACTTTCCTAAACATGGCTAGTCCCATAGCATCATCCATGTGGACTCTAGTTTGTTCATGCTTTTGAGTTTTTTTCTGATATGTGCTTTAAGTCACTCACATCTGTCTGGATCCATGCTGGGTCTGGTCCATAGACTGGTCTGATCCTGACGTTTGAAAAGGGAGGCAGGGGAAGCTAAATATAGCACTGGTGTTGCTACAGGTAGTTAGCCTTCTTGCTATACTGCCTTCCTCTGTCCTTAACTCCTGCCTATGTCAGGCTGATCAGGTCCGAGGTCTTTTACTCTCAGCTTTCCCTCCAGTGTCCTCCTCTCAAAGGGTGTTTCTTTAAGTGATTAAACATACTTTCCTTCTCCATATTCACTATCTAGTTTTGTTTACACTCCGTCTAACTCTCTCTCACTCAAACGTCAATCACTCACTCTGGAGCTCCTGCTGCCCCCTAGTTGTTGGCGGTGTTAACAGCTGCTTTGGGCGCAGCTTGTGTGCGCCCCGAGCAGCTCCTATCTGTTGCATTGAAGAGGTACGGACTGCGCATGCACCACTTATAACGAGAGTCAATGGGCAAAGATTCCTGCGCCCCGAGCAGGAAACACGTGACTTATCAGTAACTTTAGACATCGTAAAACAATTTTTATCGATATTTTATCGTAGATTATACATTTAACTAACACCAACTATATAATATGTACCTTGTTCATTAAAAAATAAATGTATAAAATTAATAAAATTAAAATATTTTTTAATGACAATCTAGAATGTGGGAAGAGGTGGGGCGGCGCCCCTAGCACCCCTATGGGCAGCGCAACTGATGCCATCACATTCTACATAGCTAAAGACATGTGCCCAGTTAGCACAGTTGGCAACCAGGGGTTTAAGCAACTGGCTAACACTATGGACAAGCGTTACGCGATGCCATCTCGGCATCATTTCACCAGATCTGCACTAACTGCCCTATATGACAAATGCCGTGGGGAAGTTGAAAAATATGTGGCTTCAGCTGAATACTTTGCAGTTGAATTTATACTTAAAGGTCAGGGTAATCAACTGTTAAAGATACTGTTCAAATTATTATTATTTTATTTATTTTTTAAAGTTCAATAAATTGATGTTTTCAAAGTCAATGAATAATTGTATTTAATAATCGTGATATCAATATTGACCAAAGTAATCGTGATTATGATTTTTGCCATAATCGAGCAGCCCTATTTCATTTCACTGTATAGCATATTTTACATTCTATTTTAGCTTATCTTATTCTATTTTACTTGCATATAGTTAACTTCTACTGCATTACTTGCACATAAGTCTTGCAACATTCTCTTGCACTATGTTATTACTACTTGGTTTCTTCTTGCATTATTTGTATTGTTTTTGTATTTGTTTTATGTCTTTTATTTATGTATGCTGCATTGTTTGAGGAGCCTGGGACTTTTTCATTGCATATCTACTCTGTAGCTGTGCATATGATGATAAAGCCTTTCAACTGTGTCTCCTCTGATATTAACCATTGACTTGTATGCTTTAAAGGTCCCATGTCATGGCCATTTCTACTGATCATAATTCCATTGTTGAGGTTTACTAGAATAGATTTACATTGTTCAATGTTCCAAACTCACATTGGTTTCTCATACAGCATCTCTGTATAGTATGTGTATTCACTCTCTGTCCTACATGGCTTGTTGGAGCTCCTGCCCCCCCCTCCCTATGAGCCCACTGTGCTCTGATTGGTCAGCTCGCCCACTCCGTTCTGATGAGTCCACCACCATTACAGCGGAACATCAGTGATTATGTGTTACAATGGCGTTAGCAACCAGAAAATGACACCAGTAATGACAAACAGATGAGAATGCTGCGTGGGGTTAGGGTGCCGTGTTGGCGGGACGTTGAGGGGCTCGCTGCTGTGAGGAGGGGACAGTGTGAGCTGTATTACTGGTGTCGTTTCCTGGTTGCTGCGTGGGGTCTGCGTCACAGTTTCGCGCTGAGAGAGTGGGGTGTGTGGGTGTGTGTGTGTGCGTGTGTGTGTGTGTGGGTGTGTGTGTGTGTGTGTGTGTGTGTGTGTGTGTGTGTGAGCAGTATAGTGACGTGTGAGGGCACGTCACTATACCCAGGAAGGAAAAAATGGAAAAAGAAAGATCTCCAACGAGGGCGTTCTGGGGCAGCTTTGAGGGTTTTGACTCGGCACACCGTTTACATGCAGAAAAAGCTACATAACACACAAGGGGACGGGTAATAACCGGAAAAGCATGACATGGGACCTTTAATAAAAATCGGTTGATATCATGTTTTGGTGGTTCCATCTAACTTTACCTATTTCTTTCTCCTCCTCTAGCCCCAGATGCCTCCTCGTCGGGTATAGGGAGTTTTGTGGAGTTCTCTTTCAGCCAGGAGCCTCAGGACTCAGTGACGGTGCGAGGCGGCGTGCTGCAGCTGGACTGCCAGGCGCAGAGCGATGCAGGAGCAGGACCCCCCCTCCTCACATGGCGTAAGGATGGCGTGATGCTGAGCGCCGTGGTGGACGAGCGGCGGCAGCAGCTGGCTAACGGCTCGCTGCTGGTGCAGAACATTGTCCACTCGCGGCACCACCGACCTGATGAGGGGGAATACCAGTGCCTTGCCACACTGGACGGACTGGGCACCATTGTTAGCAGAACTGCCAAGGTCACTGTGGCCGGTGAGTGACAGCTTCATTCTATTTTAACACACAGAACATGTATTGGTAGGAGCACATAAATGTGCACCTATTTGTAATTGTTTCAGGTCTTAGCACAACTTTCGGACACACACACACACACACACACACACACACACACACACACACACACACACACACACACACACACACACACACACACACACACACACACTCACTAACACTTTTGCTTAGCTTCTTCCATTTACTTGACTACTCATATTTATTTATAAAAGCAAAGTAATCCACCTGTAATGTCATTTAGTAAGTGGAGTGTGGCTTAAGATCAATACCATTTATGGAATACATCAGTGACCACCAACTGGCGGCCCGCGGGCCACATCCGGCCCGCCAGACATTCTCATCCGGCCTGCAAGAGTGCGTTCGCCCCCCACTCATTTTATTTTTTACAACGTCTCGTGAGTAATGTGCAGTACCGGAGTCCAACAGAGAGGCAGCAGCTGCGGGACAGTAGACTGCGTACTGCGAAACCTTCCCTGCCCTGAAGATGAAGTGATCCTTCGTGGTGAAGAGTCTGCTTTATGCGCTCCGCAGCACAGCAGTAGCCCCGCTGCGACAGAGTCCAACAGAGAGGCAGGAGCTGCGGGACAGTAGCCTAGAAGTGATCCTTCGTTAGCGTGAAGAGTCTGCTAAGCTTTATGCGCTCCGCAGTACCTGAGCGTGCTCCACTAGCACCGCCCCCCGGTCAACAACTTCAAAATTCTGGGCTATATAAAAATCGCTGGCCCGCGAAAGTGTCTATTGGATACATTTTGGCCCTTGGACAAATGTAGTTCGTGGTGATCCCTGGAATACATTAATACACGGGGGGGGGGCAATGAGCAATGAACTCTTTGACAGTTTTCTGATGTACATTCAAATGAATTGTATCACTTTTGTAAAGTCCTTGTGGGTCTGTACCAAGCCCCCAGGAAGTGCTTCGGACTTTGAGGAAAATATTCCGAGTGGCCAAACGGCGATACTACAACTTCCGTATCGGTCCGTGACGTCACCCGGTCCAGAAATACTTTTTTTTTCAACGGGTACTCCTGCTCTGACAGCCAGGCATGACGGGTAATCTGTGACGTTTTGCTTTCGAAAATGACAGGCCATTTTTTCTTCATGCGCCAATGAGCAGCTCTCATAGGAATGAACGAGGCCCCGCCTCCGACGCTGTATCCAGTTCTTATTATGCATCCATGGACTGCACAGTCAGACTGCAGTTCTTCTGGAATGTGCCCTAGATCCTCACAGCAGCAGAGTTGTAGCTTTCATTAGATCCGTGTGGTAATATTCTTTATTTCCTAAAACTGGTGCGGTGCCTGATGTGACTGTGCTGCTGCTTGTTGGGTTGAGAAGTGAGTGCATGCGTTAACGGTAGCAACACTAGCATCATGAGTGCAAAAGCTCCATTAAAGGTGTCCCCGGCCTGAAGAACACTTTGAAAGGCAGTTAAAGTTCAGACTGGCAATCCCTCTGGATGGCCTCCTCCCCACAAACACTGATGAGCACATGTAAGTGCATCACCAGTTGTTGATGTGCTTGTTGTAATGTCACTTCTGTTTGGCCAATCACGATCCACTGCTACATTTATTTTAACATCATGAATCATAGACTACTAATGTACTGCAATGAACAAGCTTGTTGCTATGACGTCAGCTGCCTCTCCATTAGTGAAATGGTCAGAGTCTGAGCACTGATTCACACCACAGCCGACTGTGACAGTGTTAAAACACAGTAGAAATCCCAGATCCCAGGACTACATTAAAATATACACACACACACACACACACACACACACACACACACACACACACACACACACACACACACAGCAGCACACAACACATTACAAGGCAAAATGCTAATGAACAGCAGCAGCTTAAAAATTCAATTAGCACTCTGAATGTGTGTGAGTGTGGTTGTGTTCAGATATGACTCTAAACTAGGAATTCATTATAAACCCTGAACACCCAGATAGAGAAAGAAAGAAAAAGGGAGAGAGCGAGAGCGAGAGAGAGAGAGAGAGAGAGAGAGAGAGAGAGAGAGAGAGAGAGAGAGAGAGAGAGAAGCAGAGAGAGAGAGAGAGAGAGAGAGAGAGAGAGAGAGAGAGAGAGAGAAGAGAGAGAGAGAGAGAGAGAGAGAGAGAGAGAGAGAGAGAGAGAGAGAGAGAGAGAGAGGGGGACTAGAGTGAATACACATGTTGAATTTGCTGGTATTTTTTATAAAACCAAAAGCAACTATTTAAAGCAGTGTTCATGCTGTTTGGAATCAAAATATATAGAAATAGACATTTGACCAGGTACATTTGATTGGCTCTTCACATCACACGCTCTGTTTCTGCTCAGAGCTAGCTTGTATATGTCTCCCATGAGTTGAAAGGTAGCTGCACTCTGATTTTTTCTAATCCTGCTGTCAGCATGTGTTTTGTAGTTTTCTTGGATTTTTGTTTGGTTTCCTTTTGGGAGGTTCCCTTGAATTGAGAATGCAGTTTGGTTGTATGGTAATGTCATTTTCCAGGAGACAAGTTAGTAGATAGTTGTAGTTGTTGGACAAAAACTGTAGCTGAGAGACTCATGATGAAGACATGATGAAGACTCAGGCTCATGGTGAAGACATGATGAAGAGTCAGGCTCATGATGAAGACATGATGAAGACTCAGGCTCATGATGAAGACATGATGAAGACTCAGGCTCATGATGAAGACATGATGTAGACGCAGGCTCATGATGAAGACATGATGAAGACTCAGGCTCATGATGAAGACTCAGGCTCATGATGAAGACATGATGTAGATGCAGGCTCATGATGAAGACATGATGTAGACTCAGTCTCATGATGAAGACTCAGGCTCATGGTGAAGAAATGATGTAGACTCAGGCTCATGGTGAAGACATGATGAAGACACGATGAAGACTCAGGCTCATGGTGAAGAAATGATGTAGACTCAGGCTCATGGTGAAGACATGATGAAGACTCAGGCTCATGATGAAGACTCAGGCTCATGGTGAAGAAATGATGTAGACTCAGGCTCATGGTGAAGACATGGTGAAGACATGATGTAGACTCAGGCTCATGATGAAGACATGATGAAGACTCAGGCTCATGGTGAAGACATGATGTAGACTCAGGCTCATGATGAAGACATGATGAAGACTCAGGCTCATGGTGAAGACATGATGAAGACTCAGGCTCATGGTGAAGACATGATGTAGACTCAGGCTCACAATGAAGACATGATGAAGACTCATGCTCATGGTGAAGACATGATGTAGACTCAGGCTCATGGTGAAGAAATGATGTAGACTCAGGCTCATGGTGAAGACATGATGAAGACATGATGAAGACTCAGGCTCATGGTGAAGAAATTATGTAGACTCAGGCTCATGGTGAAGACATGATGAAGACATGATGAAGACTCAGGCTCACAATGAAGACATGATGAAGACTCATGCTCATGGTGAAGACATGATGTAGACTCAGGCTCATGGTGAAGAAATGATGTAGACTCAGGCTCATGGTGAAGACATGATGAAGACATGATGAAGACTCAGGCTCATGGTGAAGAAATTATGTAGACTCAGGCTCATGGTGAAGACATGATGAAGACTCAGGCTCATGATGAAGACTCAGGCTCATGGTGAAGAAATGATGTAGACTCAGGCTCATGGTGAAGACATGATGAAGACATGATGAAGACTCAGGCTCATGGTGAAGACATGATGCAGACTCAGGCTCATGATGAAGACATGATGAAGACTCAGGCTCATGGTGAAGACATGATGTAGACTCAGGCTCATGATGAAGACATGATGAAGAATCAGGCTCATGGTGAAGACATGATGAAGACTCAGGCTCACAATGAAGACATGATGAAGACTCATGCTCATGGTGAAGACATGATGTAGACTCAGGCTCACGATGAAGACATGATGAAGACTCAGGCTCACGATGATGACATGATGAAGACTCAGGCTCATGGTGAAGACATGATGTAGACTCAGGCTCATAATGAAGACTCAGGCTCATGGTGAAGACATGATGTAGACTCAGTCTCATGATGAAGACTCAGGCTCATGGTGAAGACATGATGAAGACTCAGGCTCATGATGAAGACTCAGGCTCATGATGAAGACTCAGGCTCATGGTGAAGACATGATGTAGACTCAGGCTCATGATGAAGACTCAGGCTCATAGTGAAGACATGATGTAGACTCAGGCTCATGATGAAGACTCAGGCTCATAGTGAAGACATGATGTAGACTCAGTCTCACGATGAAGACTCAGGCTCATGGTGAAGACATGATGTAGACTCAGGCTCATGATGAAGACTCAGGCTCATAGTGAAGACATGATGTAGACTCAGTCTCACGATGAAGACTCAGGCTCATGGTGAAGATATGATGTAGACTCAGTCTCATGGTGAAGACATGATGAAGACTCAGGCTCATGATGAAGTGAAGCTCTCGGTGCACTTCCTGTCGGCCTGAACATTCCAGAAGGCGTGGATGGAAGCGTTGTCATGGGATACGTCCTGGTGCAGCCATGTTTCTGTGGAGCTCATTAGATATAAAGAATAATCAGCTGACTGCTTCAGTCGTCCATCCCCAATAAGCCGTGGTCCCTCAGAGGATTTTAACCAATCCTAATTAACGGTGGTGAGGAGGAGCAGGTCTGACCCACAGCAGCAGATAATAATGGTTCCCAAGGCGACCATTCAGAGTGAAGCGTCCCTAAATCCCTGCGCTGCCCTCGCACGTTTGCTGGGATTTGCATGATATTATCTGTGCCAGTTATTTTTGGTTCATTTGTCTAATGAGGAGGAAAACAACAAGGAAACCCCGTGTTGTCAGAAGAGAAAGAAACCTGCCAATCTGATGACGTGTGTCGTATGTAGCTGTTTGATGTTCAGCCTTCAGATCCAAGAAAACAGTCCACCTGCGTCACAAGTCTGTGTCTAATGTTGGTGTGTGTGTGTGTGT